TACCTAGTAAAGATTAACTAAATGTAACTGGAATGTCAATGATAGGTGAGAGTGCGCTGGAAACAAATATTTCATTGTGTAGTGTAACTGGTTCATGTACCTCTTTTCAGATTAGACGGATTACATTTAACCCATCTCACAGTGAGTGCACTGAACACTTTTATCCAATCACAAGGTGCAATGAGCACACATATTCAATCTCATAGTGCATCGAGTACTTATACTTCATTCTCAAGCGCTCCGAAAACACGTATTTCTTCCCAAGGTGCATCGATGATAAGTCATTACACACAAGGTACACTAAGCATTGGTCCTTTCACACAAAGTGTACAGGGCACATGTAAATATCACAGTGCACTGAGAGCATTCGTTCAACACAGTAGTGCATCAAACACTTATGCAAAAGTGCAAGGTGTACCAAAAGAAGAACATTAGGATACTTGACCTAAAAGTTGTTATAGACAGCTAAATATTCTGCCAGATAATACATAACATGGAAAGGTCCAACGAGTATGCAAGACACCAATATTTCAAACCAGATTATTCGAGACAACAAAACAACCAAATGAGATAAGAACAGACTTAACATCAAACATGCAAAAAACATACAATTGAAGAAGTGACTTGAGCATTTTCAGATGCAAATCGAAATAATTGGTGAGAGAAATAACTGTGACATAAGACGTCAACCAGAGAAGATATATCTGTTTTTTTATAGATGAAACTTTACAACTTGCATTCGAATTACCTAATAAAACAGGGAGTTAATATCGACTTTTATCATTTTCATTGAGAAGCGATTTTGAGATAACAACCTACCTGAAATCTTTAAAAAAAAGTTGCAATCTGCCAGAAAAAGATACAATAAAAATGTAATTGCTGAGCCTGTGCAAAAGAACCAAGGTCTTTCTTCGCATGGTGAAAGAGAGGATTTGTCCAAACATGCATTCCAAATCAGCACAACACCATGCCATGTTAAAGTTGGGTTAGATATTTTTAAGCAAATCCACGCATATGACATGGATGTAACACAAAATAACCCAATTCAAACAGAATGCATAGACACGTTTCATACAAACTCTGATAAATTAGCTCCATTATCAACTGTTCTAAAAGAACACCAATGTTACTACACTGAAGAGGAGGATTTCATTATTGACTGTAACGAAGAGATGTTCGATGTAGCATTTGCGGGTGTTACCGTGTATGAAAAGAAAGAAGATCTTACTAAAGCATTAAAGTTAATCATAGGACAAAGGAAGGTATAACATCGGGAGATAGCAAAATTTGAAGGGAAACATCAGGAGAAAAAACCCTTTAAGAGAAACACCAGATAGAAATAAAAGAATTAAACAAGAAAACATAACTTTGATTGTTTGAGATTTATCATTTAAACAAGACGTAAAGGAATAGTAAAGAAAATTAAAAGCAAGAACTTTGAGCACCAACTAGAAATATAGGACCAAACAATAATGATTGACCAGCAAATAAGAAAATAAGAAGTATTGTGAATGTACCAAAAGAAAACTGCGATTCCATTTAAAAGTGGACTTTACCAGAAAACATAAAAAACACTTCAAATGTTCAACATTTTATTACACATATGAAACATTTTATGAACAATTAATTCACAAAAAAATCATCATTAGTATGAATATTCAATAACATTAATATTTTATTGAATTTATGTTATGTGTTATGTGTTATGGTAAAGATAATTAATCACCCTCTTCTTTTATTAGATTTGAGTTTGGTTCAACGAAATGTATGCGATATATTTGGTTTACAGTTTGATTCAGAAGAAACGCCGACATAGCTAGATAATACAATTAATTATCTATTTACTATCACAATTTGATATAAATAAGTATTGTAATTTTCATTGTTATTAATAAATGTAATGTCAGTATTACAAATCTAATCTTGAATCAATCCTAATCCTATCTTATTTTTGGGAAATATTTTTACAAATTCAAATGTGACGTCACTTTGTGTGCTTTTTTAGAATTTCAAATGTGACGTCACTTTGTGCGTTGAGGCTTTGGCTAACTCGGCTGTGTATTTTTATGTGTTGGATTAAGTTGTTTTATGTACTTTATCCGTTTTTATTCTGTAGTTAGTCCCCACTTCGGTTTTATCATGTATATCTATTATATAGTCATTTTATAAAATTTACTGTTTGCAAAATTATAAATTATTTTAAATAATAAGGATGTTCTTGTCCCTAGCAGAAAAGCCTGGCCGTGTTAGGCGCAACTTTTTGGAAGTTTTGGTCCTCGGTGCTCTTCAGCTATGTACTTGTTTTGGCTTTCAAACCTTTTTATCTGAGCGTCACTGGTTGGTCTTGTGTGGACGAGACGACGTCTGGCGTATTGAATTTTAAGCCTATTACCTTTTGTTAGCTATTATTCGTGTGTTTCTTTGTCCTATATGTTCTCCCATTTATTTGTATTGTGGTCCTGTCATGTGATGTTGTCGTTTTGGTGTTGTGTTTTACGTTGCCATAAAAGCGGGAGGTTTGGCATGCAACAGGTTCAACCCACCATTTTTGTCTTGTCCTGTACCAAGTCAGGAAAATGGCCATTGTTATATTATAGTTCGTTTCTGTGTGTGTTACATTTTAATGTTGTGTTTTTGTTGTGTCGTTGTTCTCCTCTTATAGTTGATGCGTTCACTCAGTTTTAGTTTGTAACCCGGATTTGTTTTTATCTCTATCGATTTATGAGTATCGAACAGCGGTATACTACTGTTGCCTTTATTAAACTTTTGTATATATGTATATTTTATTTGATAATTTATTTGAGCAGAACAAGACTTTTAATGCTATAATTTTGCGGACAGAAGTCTACACTTAGGGAGGCAGTGTTGTGTGAAGTTAAAGCCATTAATCTTTTAACTATAATTCCGTTATATTTTTATCTTATAGTTCTTGCAATATATTTCCCGCGAATATAACATTTATGTCTTATTGTCATCATGTCGGTCCTATATACTTTCAGAGTAAATTCATATCACGATGTCGTGGACTCGTAATATATGTTTACATGTATTTATTATGTCTTTTTGTTGTAGGTTGCACTTCTGTAAATATAGACAATGCAATTTCCCATAGAAACTTCTTTTACGGCTAAAACTGTGCCACTTTTACTATGAAGTTTCATAAAAAATTATTTCCTAGAATGAAAAGTTTATATGCACTACTATTTTTTTTTCAAAGGTCAAAACATAGGGCTGTGCGGCATATTTCCAACATTTATATGCCTCGGACGTCTAAGAGTTTAAACATATACTAAAATTCTGAACTACCCCTCCCTCTACTTTGGGCCTTCCTCAGGATTCAATTTCGCCGCTATCCATGTGTATTTATACTGGTAACATTCTCAAGTTGTGTCTCTACGAGATGAAGCATAAAGATCATATCTGGGAACCAGTAGGTAAACAAAACAAAATATCTATGAATACCAAATTTCTCCCCAAAAGAGGCGTGGTTTGGGAAACAGCTGTATTTTCAAAGTGCAACCTGAAATTATTTGTTTACTTCTGCGTAATTTGTTTTTTTTTTTGCGCTGTTTTGTTGTTTAGCAAAATATAGCTCTGATATTTGGTATATGATATCGAACAGTTAATACACTTTTGAGCATTTTTTCGAAATTATGTTATAGAATAAAATCGATGTGACTGCTACAAAGTATACACCTTCTCGCTATTTAGTCAATTCAGAAAATAACAGTAACTTAGACAGCTCATATTGTGTCAAGTGTCGCAAAAACAACAAAGGTCACCGGTAAACACATGAATTTTGGAAAATTTCAGAAAAGGAATATTTTGATATTGTAAATAAAAATGCTTTGTTTGAAGAGTTTACGATGGTGAAACATGACTCTTGTATGCACAATACATTGTTTAAACAGGGCCTCTAATAATTTCAACTGGATTTGGGACGTCACGAAAAAGTTGTGTAATTTCATAACCTAGCCGAATTGAACTAAATAGCGATAAGGTTTTTTGGAGACGGATTAACAAAATCAATGTTGCTTGTTTCTGGACCCTATTTGTTTATAATTTACTATCTAATATAGAATGATTTTATTCATTGTATTTTTAACCAAAGAATGTTACAATCATTTGCAAACTGCAAAAAAAAATAATGATCTGCAAGGTTGACATTCTTTATAAGACCATATATAATGTGTTGTGTTATAAACAAGTTGACACAGACACTCTATTAATGAAAGCTGTTATTGAATACCTCAGAATGCCTAGTAGTCTAAGAGGTTTTATTAGTGCAGGCGATGTTGCCATGATGACACAAAAGCATGGTTTCATGTCCGGCTAAGTGAAATTTAAAATTTTCTACAGAACTATGATTGGACTAAATCACAGACCAAGCTTATGTAGTAATGATGTTTGCTTTGTATAACCTTAGTTTATCAAATAGAGAAAAGCTATCATGAAATTGTGACATGTATAAATATATATATCATTCTATAGACGTATAAAATAAAGTTACAGTAAAGTGAGTGGATAGCAAATATTATCATCCTTTACGAAATACAAAAATAGTTGAAACTTAAAGTTCTTCCATCTTGATACTATGATAAATCATGTGCTGTCGAACAAATCTTCGAGTCTAAAGTAACAACTTCAAACCTACAAATTTCATCGGGGTCTGTCTTTGATAAATTGCTGCTTAAGCATTTAGACAAAAATCACTGGCAAATTGTGTATAGAAATATTTTAAAAAAATAATTCACAAATGAACGGTCAATCATATCAGGATGGACTCAATAAAACTATCGAAGTGATAACTTCAACTTTAACATAAGAACCAAAGAAAACTGTTTAAAAAAACTCTTTTCATGTCAACATAATCCAGAACTTGAAAAGGATTGTTTGTAAGGACGTTTTTCTTCGATATATGCTTTTTGATGTCTAACTTAGTATTAAATTGTACAATCTTTGGAAATAATGTACGTATGCTAGAATAAGATAATACTTACATTGAGCTAAATATTTAAACTGTTTTGTCTACAAAAAATTTATTACATACATATATAATCAATGCAAATGATTAATGCTTACGTATACTCTATACACTAGAACTTATTTATTCTTTTTTAGTTTTCAATCTTGTTTGTACCATCATGTCTTATTTACCTTGCGTGGGAAGAAATATTTGCACATTGTCAATAGCTTACTTATTTTAAGAACATTTTTATCAACTGATCAAGGTTTCTTCAATAAGGGCCTGTCTATACACCATGTAAACAAAACACCTTGTTTACTGTTAAACAGTTCTTTCCACAGCCATGTTTTCAGCACAAAAAATCATTGAATATGCCCGGATCCATTATAATAGTTATTAAATTGTGCTTTGGTAAGCACAAAGGCGTGTTTAAAAACTGTTTTAATACATCAAATTGTATTGTAACATATTCGTATGCGCTAAAAGAAAAGACTTAAAGCAAAAGCGCTATTGGAAAAAGATGCAAATTAGATTTTGATGTTAGTACGCACATTTTTCCATTAATGAAGACAGTATGCATAGGTCTAGTTGGCTTTACAGGTTTTTAAGTTTTTATTTATTTAATTTATTGTGTCATTGAACCCTTATAATATGATCAAATATTATTTTACCTTTTCTGTCATTGTTTGCAAATCGTGTTTTATTCCTTATTTTGAATTGTTTATTAAAACATTAAATATGCAAACTAAAATCACTCATGGAAAAAATTGTACTTCTGCGTTTATTTGCAACAATGTAATTAGCAATTGTAACTTGGCTGACCGATTAACCATCGGAAACATCGGAGCAGGTACGATGTATCTGCTTATGGAACTTCACAACATCATTTTGAAAAAAAAAAATAGATATTGCACGATGATATTTGTATAGATCTAAATTTTTAATATATCAGGTGATTTATGATAAAAAGTAAAAAGAATGATCATACCATTTTGTACCTCTGTAATTAGAAAAACAAAAAAAAGTATTTTTAACATATCAAACAACATCACTCAGATGTTCACAGGACATAAGTCTGTCTCATATCAGTGTTAATATATTTCAGTTTGGCCTGATCTAGCGCTTTAAACTATTTGCATTTCACGCAAAACTGCAAAAGCGGCAGATCGTTTTATCAATCCATATGTGTCTGATGTCGTTTTGGATTTCAATGAATGTAATCTATATATTATTGGTAAATTATTAAGTCAGGGATTTCGTTACCAGAAATTACTTAAAACCTTTACCAAATTCTTCCATAGATATAAAGATTTGGTTTGGAAGTTTGGTTGTTTAAAAAACTTATTTTTAACGGGATAGCACATCCTCATTTGTAATGAGATGTTGTTTACCGAGCCCGGAATTTTAGATACGATCAGGGTAAACTTATCGATCCGTTAAAAAAACTTATTCTAAAAGGTTACCGATTCAACACTATAATTAGATCTTTGAATATTGTTTTTATTGGTATCAATATTGATTTATCAGTAAATTAAAATCGAACTAAATATTATTTTAACATACATATGCACATTCATGGCTCTACAATCTTGTCGATACCTGTATCTTGGCACTGCACAAGGTCACGTTTTTCTCTGACTGTTAATGACGTTTTTACACTAAATCCATTGGAAGTTGGATGTGTACTGATTGATATTTTAGTCTTAGATACATGATATTGTTTTGTATTAATTGTTATTGGCTTTGAACTAGCTGTCAGTAACTGTGAGTACTCTCAGATCTGTACTTCTTGTCTTTTTTTTTTGTGGGGATGTGTAAGTACCCTGCCACGTCCACTCTGTGTTTTTTACTCGTATTTGTGCTTTATATCGATCTGATGAGTTAAGCCCTTTTTAACTGATTTTCATAGCTTGTTCTTATTTTGTACTGTTACACTACTGTCCCTTGTTAGGGTGAGGTTGGGCGCCCGCCAACATGTTTAACCCCGCCACATTCTGTATGTGCCAGTCCCAAGTCAGGAGCCTGTAATTCAGTTGTTGTCGTTTGTTGCTGTATATCATATTTGTTTTTCGTTTATTATTTTGCACATAAATTAAGCCGTTAGTTTTCTCGTTTGAATTGTTTTACATTTGTCATTTCGGGGCCTTTTATAGATGTCTATGCAGCATTGGTTTTACTCATTGTTGAAGGCCGTAAGGTGTCCTATAGTTGTTAATTGCTGTGTTGTTTGGTCTTTTGTGAAGAGTTGTCTCATTGGCAATCATATCACATCTTCTTATTTTTATATTATGAAGTTTAACTGTCCCTCTGTTACCTTTGTTCCTCTTTGCTGAAAATATATGTTGCTACAAAGATGTTAATGCAGGTAAACTATATATTTGAATAATAGCTTGTCTCATGGCGACTTTGAACAAACCGATATGTAATAGGGCCGTTTTGGCTAATATACATTCAATCAATTATTCATCATCGATTAATCAGTCATTCATTTAAAATGTTTAAAACTTTAATAGTGAAATCACACTTGACTTTTCAGTATTGATGTGTCTAGTTTGTATTTACCAGTAAAAGCAACATAATTCTGAAAGGAAAGACAAATTTTACTTTTTCCTTTTCAATTTCAGGGACAACTTACGGCTCTTATCATACCTCTCTATTTACCTAATGTTGTCGGGATTTTATAATTGTTAAAGACTATTGAAAGAAGGCTGTGATCTTTATTCCCCCAGATTATATTTTACACAAATGTTTTGCAAGTTACTTGGGCTTATTTGTTGCATTTATTCTTTCTTAGAACACTTGGTACACCAATTGAAACTATTTGTCTTTTATTGCTTAAATTATCATGGGTAATTAATTAACCTAAAGGATGTTAAATGCAAGCCTCGAGATTGCTATTGTTCTTTGTCTTCAAACAGATATAGTCCAGCCTGTCATATTATTACTTGAGACCTCGGGATCGTTAACAATGAATAAGTTAAACTGTTGTTAGCCAAAGACCCGTAACATAGAATTTCCAAGCATTTCTACTGGAAGAAGAACAGGCTACTGATGAATGCAGTTGTGGACTATGCCAGAAAATGGGAAAAGTGCGAGCAAGATGAACTAAAGTTTGAGTAAAGAACTCGGAATTCACATCCAAAATGGGAATCCCACATATACCCCCACATCATTGACGAAAAGGGAAATTTAAGAAAATTACAAATTCACCTGTCTCTTTTATGTATTAACATAATAGAGGATGTTAAAAAAAAACTCTCGCCTTTATACTGCATAGTAACAAAAAAAAAACGTAGCATTTGCGAACTGAACTGTAAACGGGGGTCTTATTTCGAAAAAGGGTTACTTTTTACTAAAGCTTTTGCTTTACACATACTTACGAAATTCACCGTACATATCTCATTATTTAAAGATCAATTGTACAGTAGGTATATTGTCAAGCCGGGATCGTGTTTTTTTCGAGTGATTTGATCGGGTTTTTGTTCGAGTGGGATCACGTTTTGTCAAGTAAATATGATTTAGATTTTTACAAACAAATCTTTCCGTAGAGACAGGACATTGATGATTGCTCCTTATATAAATGATGATTCAAGATAATTGCGATAAAAAGATATTACCAACCCTTCATTATTTTTACTATACAAGATTAATTTAGCCTTACAATGCTTTTGTTCCAAAATATAGAATAAAGCTATTTTTATACACATACCAATTAGAAAAAGTCAAAGGAAATGCATATATTGAATTTATATTTCGTTAGATACACAGATATCTTCTTGGTATTGCATTAAGAAGGGCATTTTAAGAATAACTACATTGCTATACATTTTTCCGACCTTATGTTACATTTTGAATATCAAATTTGCCTAAATCGTGAATATGACTTCTAATACAGACTCACACTTTCATCTATTTCATCGTAGCTCTAAAGAGAATAATTGTTTACACGTGCTAGACTCATTAACCCGTTGAGTACATTCAGGTGAGATTTTTGTAAATTCGTTTACACTGAATCCTTACATTTATCGTGGTCCAGGCAACTAGATCCTAGATACTGACGTTGTTTCTCATCTTAAGGTAGATCATAGGAATATGTTTCCCGAGATAGAATTTTCTTATACTTTGCCAAAATGAAGATTTTACTATGCTGTTTTCAAAAATACAATAAAAAGGATGGGTCACTCTGCTATTTTTCAAGCTATGAGTCGTTGAAAATTGCCTAAACTTGGTTAGAATGATCATGAAAAAACACATTTTTGTGCATAAAAAGAAATCTATGAGATAGAATTTTAAAATAAATTGTGAGAAGATAGATTTTATAATATGTTTTGAGAAAATAAAAATAAAGTGGTGTCACCGAACTTGTTTTCTTGCTACGAGTAAAAAATAAAAATTTCCCTATCAGTCCAGTATAAATTTTTACTAAAAGAGTTATCTTCCCTAAAATTGCTTAGTTGAAAAAAATTATTCTAAAACACAAACGTTTGGTATTTGTTTAAATATTTTGGATAATGCAATAAATCAGCAAGTTTTCTTCATATATTAACTGTCTAATCAATAAAATTGCACATCTGTCTACAAATTTGCATATTTGGGCAAATAACTAGACCGATAGTGTACTGCAATAGTACAGTCCAAGATGGCGGTATACCATGAATCTACCTTAATTACGTGTTATAATGCTCTGATTTCTGAACAAAATGTACATAGTTCAGTTTCTTTTAATTTACATTTCAATAAAAAATGAATTACATTGTAGAATCCTATGAACAATCTTAAAAAAGAAATTTTGGATGAACGAATTTCTGGTTATAATGAAAAGCATGGAGTACATAGTATTCCAATCTTCAATCTGCATATTCAATAGATATAAGAAGATGTGGTATGAGTGCCAATGAGACAATTCTCCATCCAAGTCAAAATTTATAAAAGTAAACCATTATAGGTCACAGTACGATCTTCAACACGGAACCTTGGCTCACACCGAACAGTAAGCTATAAAGGGCCCCAAAAATTACTAGTGTAAAACCATTCAAACGGGAAAACCAACGGTCTGATCTATATAAAAAACGAGAAACGAGAAACACTTATGAACCACATCAACAAACGACAACTACTGAACATCAGATTCCTGACTTAGGACAGGTGCAAACAAATGCAGCGGGTTTAAACGTTTTAATGGTACCAAACCTTCACCCTTTTTCTGAAACAATAGTGTAACATCACAGCAAAGAAAGACACACTATAAAATATAAACAGAAATAGCTTAACTCAATCAAAGGACATATTAACACCATTGAACATACACTGAACAAATAAATTTGACCTATTATACAATGTAAATACAAAATAAATAAACTAAATCTATTTCCATGTATTACGGGAAGATAAAGCTAATACTTTATTATTTTCCAAAAATAGTTCATAGAAAAATTTACAGGATTTTGGTTCATTTTTAACTTTATCTACCAATTTATTTTCAATATTGTCCAATTTAGAACTACCTTCTATCATATTTTTCTATCTATTTTGGAATTGCACTTATAGTACCATAAAACAAAATTAGTATTGATATTATACTTTTTTTTAAATTCTCCATATGAGAATGATGTACTATTATCTCACACCAGATCATCAATAAAAAATAAACAATTTTTAATATATTTGAACTTCAAAATCATCTTGCCATCTATTTTGATGTTTGGGTTTCAGCCAATGTGGACTG